GTACAAACATGCATTTGCATTGCAAAGAAAATTTGTGCATAGTGTTAAATAAAGTGTTCTTTTGTTACCAAAAAAAAAAAAAAGGAAACGCTCCAATGCATTACAACACTTTTCAGCATGAGTGCCCAATGCATGCTAGCATGTATGTTATGTACCCCATAACACACACCCGCTGGTGCTCTTGTTTGTGTGTCTAACTAGTATTAGTTGCTCTACACATTTGTGTCAATTTTTTAAGTAATTTAGTGTGTAATCAGCAGACTTCAGAATCCCCAGTTGTTTCTGTTGTATTTGTTATTTTATTTATGTCGTTGAGAGACAATTCAAAGATGCAAATTTAATTCACTTGTAATCACTGATTCACTCTCCAAATAGCAGTTTTTATCTTGTTATATAATTCATTACTACAATCCTTTATTTATATGTATATTTTAACTCATCTGTGGCCCATGTTGCCATATTAAATGCAGAGTGACCTTACTTAACCACTTGCCCTTCAGAGGATTTACCCCCCTTCCTGACCAGGCCATTTTTTGCGATACAGCACTGTGTTACTTTAACTGACAATTGCGTGGTCATGCAATGCTGTACATAAATTAAATTTATGTCCTTTTTTTCTCACAAACAGAGCTTTCTTTCGGGGGTATTTGATCCCCTCTGCGGTTTTTTTTTTTGCGCTATAAACAAAAAAATACAGACAATTAAAAAAATAAATATATCTTTGACTTTTTGCTATAAAACATATCCAATAAAAAAATTTAAAAAATCAAATTTTATCATAAATTTAGGCCAAAATGTATTCTGCTACATGTCTTTGCTAAAAAAAAAATCCCCATACGTGTAAATAATTGGTTTACGTGAAAGTTATAGCATTTAGAAATGGCGGTATAGATACTGAATTTTTAGTTTTAGTTTTTGTTACACTAGTAATGGCGGCGATCAGCGATTTATAGCGTGAAAGCAAGACTGCGGTGGGCATTCTGACACTGGGTGGGATCTGACTAACTGCCACTGACATCCCCAGTGACACTAATATAGTGATCAGTGCTAATAAAAAGCACTGACACTGTACTAATGACACAGGGCAGGAAGAGGTTAACATCTGGGGCAATCAAAGGGTTAACTGTGTGCTGTCTGTATTTCACATTATGTGCTGTGTGCTGTTTTACAATGGAGGCATGCTGCTTTGCATTTCTCTGCTGTGCAGAGAAATACAAAGCAGCATGTCCTTGCTAACAGGAGCGAGACCTGTATTGTTTACACAGGTCTCTCCCCTGTCAGCTTTCCCCAACAGTCAACGAGTGTCTGTGGGGAATCACCGGCTGGGACCCAGTGACTGACATCTCTAGCTGAGAATGGCGATGCAGGTAGGGTGACACGTGCAAATGCCCCATTACCCGGAAATGCAAATCATTTTACATGACAAATGGTTAATTAGCTAACATGCAACTTAGGCTTCAAACACCGATATCTACATGGCAGTGTCCCTGCATGTTTGGGGGATGGTGGTATGGATGAAGAGGGGAGACATGGGTGGAAAGGGTTAAGGCATGGTTTGGATGTTGCATTGACTGACCTGATTGGTGAATGCATGGGTCTAGGTGAGGCTTCAGTGAGGCTAGGAAAAGGTGGAAGAATGGATATCTCAGTTGGTGGTCATTGGACAGAGAGAGAACTGCTCATCCATCCATCCTCCCTCCCTGTTTTGGTATGGTTCCTAGGTTTCATGTCACCTGGTGGTTGTGGTCTTTGGAGGGGATAAAAATCAGTGATAGTCTAATGGTTGGAAACCCATCTCTGGTATGGCATCCTTGGGTGCATTCCGGTTAACATGAGGTAACTGGGATCTTTGGACATAGAGGTATCTGCAGATAGTTGAGATATTGTCTGCAAGCCGGTGTACAATGGCTAGGGCCTATTATAAGTAAGGGGTTCCCCAAATACAAAATAACCAGATTTGGGTTTAGTGCCTTAAAAGATCAAAAACATTTCTATTTTAAAGGAATTGGTTTGTTATTATCATTATATGTTAATAAAAGGCTGCTATAGACATTTTGTATCCAAACTTTTGTGTGGTCTGGTTTTTGGTGAGTAAATTAAAAGACTGGGTTTGGGATGGCATAGCATGTAATCGTATTAGGAATGGGGATATCTATTCTACTTTAGTCACGCGCAGTACAGTGCTTTTTTTTTTTTTATTTTTGATTGAGAGTCAATTTTGAATGTCTGCACTGTGAGTCTAAAGAGAGATTGTCCACCCTGCTGATCAAAATCAATATGTAGTTTAGCATTCATGTATCATCATCAAACACGGTTTCATTTATATCCCTGTAATGTGTACTATTGTGCTTGTGAAATATAAATTGTTTTATACATTGTAGTTTTAGGAATCAATTTGTGTTCTGGACTAGTAATATATTCCTATGCAAGTTAATTATCCTATCATCAACCGTGTGCCTGAGTGTGTATGTATGTATATGTGTATATATATATATGTATATATGTATATAAATACATCTCTTATTAAAGATACATTTATCTGTCATAACTGACCTCTCCAGCTGATGTGGCGGTTCATAGTTACATAGTTAGTGTGGCTGAAAAAAAGACACAAGTTCATCTAGTTCAACCATAAAAGAGAAAAAAAAATTTTTTTTTATATCCTATACTCACAGTTGATCCACAGGAAGGCAAAAAAACCCCCAGCAAAGCATGATGCAATTTGCTCTTGCAGGGGAAAAAACTCCTTCCTGATCCCCCATGAGGCAATTGGATATTCCCTGGATCAAGTTTACTTAAAAGGCTAGGTTCAAACTAGCCCGCAATCGATGCAATTCCCGCACCTGCAACCACCTGCAGCCACATCGTGCTTCTCTTGCGAGACATGGGGGTGCCATTCATTCTAAATGGCACCCCTTACGTGTTTTATCCCACAGCATGATTGCAACATGGTAGCGGGTGCGGGAACCGCACAGAAACTGCATGGTCAAAAAGACCATGCAGTTTCTGTGCAGATTCATTTCAGAAAAGGTGCATGCACCATTTCTTAGCTTGCACCGCAGGAACAGCAGCTCATTCAAATGAATGGGCTGCTGTGCCCATGCAAACATGGGTCGCACAGACCGCACTAGCGTGAACTAGACCTAAATGTTAGTATCCAGTTATATTCTGTGTATCCAGGAAAGGATCCAGGCCTATTCTACATTTTCACAGCTCTTACTATGAAGAAACCTTTCCATAGTTGAAGATCAAATCTCTTTTCCTCCCAGATGTAAAGAGTGCCTCCTTGTCCTCTGTGATGACCTTAAGGTGAATAACTCTACACCGAGTTCACTATATGGACCACTTATGTATTTATACATGTTAATCATATCCCCTCTTAATCTCCTCTTCTCAAGATATTATAAATTCATTTCCTCTAATCTTTCCTCACAGCTGTGCTCCTCCATGCCTCTTATCATTTTGGTTTTCTTTCTCTGAACTTTCTCCAGTTCCCCGATATCCTTTTTGTGAATTGGTGCCCAAAACGAATGATTTGTACAGGGTTAAAATGATCTCTAGATTCCTAGATTGTAAGCTCCAAAGAGCAGGGCCCTCAATCCCCTCATGTTTTGCATTGTATTGGTATTGTTCTGTCACATGTTTTGTCCCCCTTTGTAATGTACAGCGCTGAGCGAACTATTGGCGCTTTATAAATACTGTATAATAATAATAATAATAATCTCTCTCTCTGTAGTCTATACCTCTTTTAATACAAGAAAGGATTTTGCTCTCTTTGGAAACCCCAGCTTGGCATTACATGCCATTATTAAGCTTATGATCTAATAGAACTCCCAGATCCTTCTCCATCATTGACTCATGCATATTCCTAACCCCCTAATTGCATAACTTTACATTTATCAACATTAAACTACATTTGCCACATAGTTGCCCAATTAAACAGTGCATTGAGGTTAGCTTGTGAGTTGGAGACATCCTGTAAGGACATTATCCTACTGCACAGCATGGTGTCATCTGCAAAGACTGAAATGGGATTTTTAATCCTAGACCCTATATCATTTATAAATATATTAAAGAGTAAGGGTCCCAACACTGAACCTTGGGGTACACCACTAACAACTCTATACCATTCAGAGTATGAATCATTAACCAGTACTCTCTGAATACAATCTTTTAGCCAGTTTCCTATCCGTTTACAAACTGATTTTACAAGCCCGTAGACTTTACCTTACACATTAGCCATGTGTGGGGAACTGTGTCAAACGCTTTTGCAAAAATCCAAGTATACCACGTCCATAGCCACCCCTCTGTCCAAGGTTTTGCTCACCTCCTCGTCAAAAGAATCAGATTTGTTTGACAACTTCTGTCTTTCATGAATCCATGCTGTCTGTTGTTTAAAATATTTTTTTCCATCAAGAACTCATCTATGTGGTCTTTTATTAAGCTCTCCAATATCTTCCCAGCTATAGAAGTTAAACTAACAGGTCTATAGTTACTGGCCTTACACTAATCCAGTGGTACTATGCCAGTCATTAACCACTTGCCTACCAGGCACTTATACCCCCTTATTTACCAGGCCAATTTTCAGCTTTCAGCGCTGCCGCACTTTGATTGACAATTGCGCAGTCATGCAACATTGTACCCATATGAAAGCACTGATGGGCACTGATAGGCGTCACTAATGGGCACTGATAGGCAGCACTAAAGGGCACTGATAGGCAGTAATAATGAGGTGGCACGGATAGGCGGCACTGATAGACAGCACTAATGAGGTGTCACGGATAGGCGGCACTGATAGGTGACACTGATGATGGGTACTGATAGACGACACTGACTGGCATCACTGCTGGGCACTGACTGGCGGCACTGACTGGCACAACCACTGGGCACTGACTGGTGGCACTGACTGGCAGCACTGCTGGGCTGCACTGGTGGGTGGCACTGGTGGGCAGCACTGGTGGGTGGGCACAGGTGGGTGGCACAGGTGGGCACAGGTGGGTGGGCACAGGTGGGTGGCACTGCTGGGCACAGGTAGGTGGCACTTCTGGGCACAGGTGTGTGACACTGCAGAGTGGCACAGGTGGGTGCACTGCTGGGCACAGGTGGATGCACTGCTGGGCACAGGTGGGTGATCTGCTGGGCACAGGTGGGCGGAGCTAGTGGGCGCACTGCTGGGCACAGGTGGGCGGAACTTGCAGGTGGCACTGCTGGGCACCGATCATCAGGGCACTGATCATCAGTGCCCTGATGATCGGTGCCGATCCCCGCTCTGACAACTGCCGGTTCTCGGCAGTACTTTCCTCACGATCTGACAGCGTGAGGAAAGTGCAGCCGAGAACCGGCACTTGCATTTCCCTCTGATCAGCGTGTCATTGGACACCGCTGATCACGTGGTAGAAGGCCGCTGTGATTGGCCTTTTACCACATCACGTGATCAGCTGTGTCCGTAGGACACAGCGATCACGGAGATCGCCGGGTGCGCGCGCCCCCCAGCGCGTTCTGGGAGGACGTCATATGACGTCCACTCAGAACTGGCCGGCCGCAGTGAAGCCGTCATTCGGCTATCTGCGGTCGGCAGGTAGTTAAAGAGTCCCTAAAAATTAGAAACAATGGCTTTGAAATGACAGAGCTCAATTCTTTAAGGACCCGTGGGTATATGCCATCCGGTCCAGGGGCTTTATTCACCTTTATTCTGTCTAAATATTTCTGGACCATATCAATTTTGAGCCATTGCGGATCATTTGGGGCTGTGTCAATATCATCCCCATTATGGACAAGAGCTCCCCCATGTTCCTTTGTATACACAGAGCTGAAGAAGGTATTTAATAAACTTGCCGTCTCTTTGTCCCCAGTCACCCACTCTAGATTATGTGATGGGCTTACATGCTCGGACCTGACCTTTTTACAATTAATATATTTGAAGAATACTGCCCCCCAACCCCCCACCTTCAAAGGAATATGATAGCTGCATGGGTTAATACTCATTTCCACAACTGCTTCAAATCCAATGCAGCAATTTTGACTCAAAAGCCAGAATTTGGTAAGCTTGCTACTTTCAAGACTCACTCATTAGAGTCAATGGGACCTAGCTGCAACCTGTGCAGTAGTTCATGGTAAAATCACTATTCAGCTATTAAAAAAAAGGCATTCAGGAAGTGACAGTATCACATCACTAATATCTGCAAACCACCTCTAAAAAACAATCCACTGTGATTCCTTTCAGAGGTGGGTAACGACTGCTGCCAGTGTGAACCTAGTTTTTGAGTTAGAATTTTTTTTTAAAAGAGTGCAACAGCAAACTACATACAGTATGTAGTACTACAGTAATAACCATGAATGCTTAGCAAGATGTCCTTGTGACCTCACCAGACTGACCAGAAGACATCTGAATTAATGTATGTAGATGGGGGGCTGGTTTAATAGATAAATGAAACAGTTAAAAAAAATTGGTGGGTGAGAGTTCAGGGAGAAGGTGGTGAGAGGACTTGTGTGTAGGGGGCTGAAGGTTTAAAGGTTTAATTTCCTAGAACTGACAGCAGATAAATGCTTCAGAAAAAAAATCTTACAAATTCATCATAGCTAATAAATGATAACAGATATTGTAATTGCAGATATTAACATTCTGTTAATCAACAATTTGAAGAGTTAGGTGTGACCCTTGGTAGATTGAATGTGCTATAGTGCTGCGTTATATTGTACTATTCAATTTTGCCCACTGTTTTTGAGGCTGTCATGTTTTCCCTAGAGCGATGTATGAAAAAGTTGAGAAGTGAGCATTTCATTCAATTAGTCTGTCCATCCCTTGCCAACATAGTTATATTTTAAAGGTGCACTCACATGGGAGATTAGCACCCTGTGGAACCTCTCCCCCTGTGGAAGTGTGAGCTAAGAGCTGCGATCGCTTAGATCCTAAAATGCAACGACAGGCTGGCAGTGGCCGCAAATATCCATGACTGTTCACATGGCCAACAATTATCCACATCCAGTCATGCTCATTTGTCCCTAACCACAGGTAATTACTGGCTGTGCAAACGGATAGCTGTGGCAGCTCTTCGCAGTTCACAGCACCTGTCATAATCTGTAGATTTTTGCTGCTGGAATTTGCAGGGTCTGATAATGGCCTGTGTGCATGCACCCTAAGTTTATTTTATGTTTACAAATTATTATGTGTTTTTTGTCTTTTTAAAATAATTTTAATGTGTTTTTAGTTTACAAATAATGCCCACCTGTCTGTTAGAATGGAGGGAAGGGGCTGTATCTGCTGTTCAGGTCTATTTTAGCAACTAAAATAAAATGTAAAAAAGAAATCATTCAGTGACCTCCTATTCCTAAAATAAATATGAAAATATGTAAATATGAAAAAAACATTTGCAATAGTATACATTTATCTGATGTTTTTGCTACAATATCAAACATAATAAAGAAAAACTATATAAACCCTATTAGATTCCTGTTGATAAATTGGCTTGTAGAGAGTAGAGACTACTGAGGGGGGTGGGGAGTGTCAAGGTGGGCCCCTAATGATTTGAGGCTCTCGTTCAAGTCTACAACACACCTACAGCACTCCAATCCCTGCAATCACCCTTCACTGGATTCAGCTAATCAAAGAAGGGTTTGGTGGTTCGGATGCTAGTTAAATATTTCTATAGTATTGAAATGCAGGAATGAGCAACATTGGACGAGTTTTTGTCAGGGCAGGAGCTGAGGAACGGACGGCAGGCCTAACAATGTAACGCACTGGCTGACGACAACCACCACCCACAGACCGAAGTCCCTCAGGGCGCGGAGTCTAAGTCCCAGGCTGCCCTTCACCAGGGCCCCTGATGGTGGGGATGGACTTGACGCAGCCAGGAACCAGGTCGCGGCCCCCGAGACACCTCAGCTGCGGTAATGGCCACCGCCAATGGCGTGTAGCTGGTGGAAGAGACAAAAGAGTAGTCAGACAAGCCGGGGTCAACAACAACAGGACAGAACAGTACAGGACAGCAGACGAGAATCACAGGTCACGAGCCGGGTTCAGCAACAGAGGGTCAGATCAAAGGAGAATACAAAGAATAGTCAAGACAAGCCGAATCAGATACCAGGAGAGTCACGAGAGTCAGAACAGAGTAACAGCAACACAAAGACACAAGACACAAGTGCAAAGAGCATGTGCGGGCCACAGGCTTATATGTCATCAGCCACACCCCTCTGGAGGATGGACCACAGAAACCTGAAGGCATGAAGGCAAAGGGCTCCCATCATGCACAGCAGAATCCAAGATGGACACCAGCACATGAAGTAACATAACCACAGGGAAAAGGTAGGACCTTGACAGTTTTGTACAACTGACTTTTTGTATGCCTTGACAGAGATAGGATTGTAGCTTAAGATGAAGAAGGTAAAAGGTCAGGGAACATGGCATGGAGTGTCTTAGGTGTGCAGTACCATTGTATGATGGTTTTGTAGTCCACTTCTTGATAGCAGCTACTGATGGAGAACTTACATGACATGGAGTATATTTTGGATTGGTCATCTGGAGAAAAGGAAATGCCCAAGTCTTTTTCCCATTGAAGAGAAAATGTGTATGGGTCTTAGATGTTTCTGAAAGCAGTAGTTTATTCAATTGAGTGATCTCATGGCGCAGTGAAGTGTTTAATTGGCAGTCGGTTTCAAACAGCATGAGAGGCCTCACTAAAAGATCTGGGTACTGAAGTGATTGGAGAAAATGAGAGAGAGTTATAATTTTTGGAACATGCCTAAGATGGCAAAATTAGGATCTCTAGACACTTGCTGGGGGGGTTATCAAGGTCTTTTGCCACAAAAAAATGTTGGGCGGAGAATTTACACAATTGCCATAAGTAACAAAAATGGAGTATCTTCACTGAAGGGGGAGTAGTCAGGGTTGCCCAAAATAGAAAACAGAGGCAATGGATATGGGATGAGGTTATAGGCCCGTAATGCTTTAGTGCATGTTCCCCAAGTGGCGCTGATAGTGGGATGCTTGCCTAGGTTCAAGGAAGGTAGTTTGGGAGACCAGATGAGTATATCCAAAGTAATGGGAGAAATGTCCTGTTCCAGTGGACTCCATTCACAAATGGGTTTCTTATTACATCCGAATATGTGGTAAGATACCGCACAGCAATTTTCAAAAAGTTTTTCAAAATTCAATAAAAAACATTACTAAAATACTGCATGAGTTATTTTATGAAGTCATGCAGTAATTTAGTAGTGAAAATATGTGGTAATTTTAACGCCGGTAGTAGCTGGCATATTTATTTACAGTAGTAAATACCGAGTTGGTAAGGAGCGGGCGGCTGCTGGCATCCTTAACAACCAGTAACTTTTATGATTGCTGAGGAGCAGTTGGTCGCTACATCCTTAACAACCAATGAGTCATCAGCTGTCAGTAGGCTTCCCTGTTGAAAGCTGAATGAAAACAACACAATTGCTAGCAATTAAAGATTAAGGAACAAACTGTGTGGGGGTCCCCCCCCAATCCATGCCAGACCCTTAGAGAAAGAGGGGTGAGTGGGTGCCCCCCCTGAACCATACGAGATGACATGCATCTTTAACAAGGGGGACCCCAGATCCCCACCCCCTCCCATGTGAATGAGTATGGGGTACATAGGTACCCCTACTCATTCACCAAAAAAGTGGTAAAAAAGAGTGAAAATGTAACAATGTTTTTTGACAAATCCTCAAAAAAAAATGTCCCCCGTTGCAGATTCAACACCAATCAAAAAAAAAAAGGACCACTCCCTGTGATAATTGTGCGCACAGATATGGACAATGACAGCCATAATTTGGATCATACTCTGCAAATGTCATTCTCACTCCAAATCAGTCCCCCTCCCTTTTTTTTGAATAGCATGTGGTGTGTGTATGCTGGGGTCACAAGGGCATCGGGCACAGCTGGATATGCTTCATGGTTGTAAACCCAATTAGCTGGTTCCACGATGTCTGTCAGACCCTTGCCTTGGCCTGGTCGTAAAGCTATAAACCAGTCAGTCACTGGACATGAAAGCATTCCAGAGTGGCAGTAAAACATGCATCCCACTTGAAACCACTTTTTCATACAATTTCATAAATCCCGGCAGGAACAAGGTACAATAAAACAAAGCATATATTCAGATAGGTCAGTTTAATACGAGTCACCTGATACCTTACACCCCTAGATAATGTCTACCAGAGAGTAGAAAACGATATGTCATACTTGGTGTCTGGACGTTCAGAATATCATTACGCATATTAACCTGCCAGTGGCTAGGCTGCTGCACGCAACTATGGAAGGTTATTGACCATGGTATAAACTTGGGAGGGATTTGGGTCACAGGCTGGGTCTCTGCCTAACCCCCCCTCCCCATATGAG